GGTCAAATCTGAATTTTGCATATTAGTTCTAATGTTGACAAAAAGGCTTCATCTACACTGAAGGGTTTTTGCACAAGAAGCCTTTTGCAGAAGAGATTTTCTGCAAAAACTTCTTGTGCAAAAGTGCATCCAGACCTCAAAGCGCATTTTAAAAGCAATGTGCTTTTGTGCAAGAGAGTGTCCACACTGCATGGACACACTTGCGCAAGAAAGTTCTGCTAGCCATTCTGTGAATGGCCATCAGAACACCTGTGCTTTTGCTGATAGGGGTTTCTTGCACAAAAACCCCTCTGGAGCATCCACACCTGTCTTTTTGCGCAAGAACTGTAGCACAAAAACGAGTTATTCCTCGTGGGGAGAGGAATAACCCTACCGGCAAAAGCCCTCTGTTCTGCCAATTTACTTGCACAAAAACGCACTTGAGGTGTGGACACTCTGCCGGTTTTTGCACAAAAATGGCTGTTTTTATGCAAAAACCTTGTAGTGTAGACATAGCCAAACAGGCCTTCACTTCCCCAGTATAGTACAACACTTCTTGGTTTATGTGAATTAAGCCTGCTCCTCATGCCTAGATCAAATAACTATCTCGCATCCTAGATCATTGCAAATGTGCTAGCATTCATGCAGGAAAGGAATAAAGAAGATAAATGGAGGCATAAAGCCAGGCAGATGAGGGCACGTCAGGATTTGACAGAGCAACCTTCCTATTGCTTTTGGCAAATAAGATACAATCAGGAGCCACAGCCACTTGGAAAGAATGGGGGGGAAGGGAAGATGGAAAAAATTAGTAATCCATAAACAGTGTATTAACTAAACCAAACACCATTTACCATAAAAATAGATTTTAATTGTTACAAATGTCCAGCACCACAGGTTTTTCACACACAATATAATACATAGAGTCAAATTAGTCTCCTGAAGCACATGAGTATCCAAGGGCTTCCATTAGAATGAATGCAACAAGTCATTTTGACAATTTTGTCACTTGAGAGCACTCCCAATGTTTTAAAATTTATATTTAATATAAAGTTACTTGATGATTCTTGTTGGATAGATAATGCTGAATTTAGATGCAGAGTCATCTCCAAACTGCAAGCTTCCTCAGTTTCTAATCATCTTCTCGATTAGTTTATCAGAAGTGTTTCAAATGTAGTAACTTGGCTAGATTTTCCACAAAGAAGGAAAAGGGGCAGTTTACATGCATCAAACTAATAATTTATGAGAGATAAAGTGATAAAATGTTGGAGATTTGTAATAGTAATACTGCCACACTAAAAAGAAGAGAGGTTACACAATTTAACTATGGACACATCTATTTCTGGATGTGCTAATGACTCACTAAGAAGTCCCGATTCCCAAGTCCCTTGCTCTAGCTACTAGACTGGGGTGGGCAAAATGGCCTCCGTGGATCGCATCCAGCCCACCAAGCAGGTTGATCCGACCCATGGAGGCTCTGCCGCTCCTCTGCCCCCAGGCAAATTAGGACATGGGTGCGGAGGGAGTGCACAAATTTTCCTCCACCCTGCCAAGCACCAAGAAGCATCATGCGCTCCGGGAAGGCATGAGGAGACTTTGCACACTGCCCATCTGCAAGCCCTGATTGGCCTGGGGGCCAAAGGGAGAGCACACGAAGTCTCCTCCCACCTCCAAGGGCATGGGCGCTTAAGGGAAACTTGTTGGGGGGGGAGGAAGGGGAAGAGACTTCATGCACTCCCCCACCCCAAAAGAGCAATTATGGTCCAGAGCAGCCCATGACCACTTCAAAAATTTCTGAAGTGGCCCCTAGCAAAAAATTACTGCCGTCCCTGTACTAGCCAGTACTTCCTCATTATGAGCTCAATTAATTTAATCTGATGAGATGGTGCTTTCTGACACTTCTTGTAAACTTAGCACTTGGGAGATTAGGCAGGATGCTTAATTCTGTAACTCAAATTTGCTTGACAGAGGGGCACTTTTAAAGATTAAGGAACTGTTTTTCATAATTGTTTTTACTAGCTAATGTGAACTAAGACCACTTCAAAGGATGAAACAGCTATATTACATTTAATAAAACTTCCCCACTTTTGGGTTACTGACTAAAAAGTTCCTTATATGCTTAATAAAACTGCCTCACAAACCAGTTCTATTGCTGGGAGAAAATAAAGTTGTTAGAAAAGCTAATAACGGATTAGATTTATAAAACAAAAAAGAATGGATTTCATGGATTCAGATGTTAGACACTACTAGTAAATAATGCACCACTTTTCACAGAGCCTACACTACATTCACAAGCCAAATGCTATGCAGAGGACAAGTGAGTGAGAAGAGGATTTCCAGAATGAAGACTGGATTTAATCTTCGTATGGTGAAGTATTCAGTAGCAGAAATATCAGACATTTTCACTATTCATAGCATCTTATTTCTAAAGAATAAGGGCACACAAGCTTTGCCTCCCTTTAGGCTCTGTCAGTAACTTGCCAGAAGCCTGAGGGGTAAATTTATTTTTCATAAAAGAAACACACAACAAAGAGTTACACAGAACAGAAAGTATTTCAAACTGCAGCTGCACTCATCGATAATGTGCAATTGAGGTGCCTGGAGACTTCAGGTCCTCAGCAATTCACTCTCCAGCTTGATGTGAATAGTCCATTCCATTTTCTAGATGAAGTCAGCCCTAACCCACACTACAAAATGTAGCTGAATATAGTTTACTCTGCCCCAAAGATGATGACACAAGACATAATTGATATTTTAAGAAGTTAAAAATCTCTTTCTAGAAAGCCCGCAAACAGGAATGATTTAATTAAGGCAGAAAAATGTGTAGAGTTGGGCTAATAATTAAGTTTAAGATAAACTTAGCCCTTTCCTGCATGCAACTATCCACAAGAAATCATAACCTGAGTTTTTTATTAGTAAGGCTGCGAGTGTCAGGGAGGTCACAGATTTTGTATCTTTCTACAACCTCTAACATACGCAGCTGCAATGGTTAGTGCGGCTTACCCCTAGACTGTACAAGCAGCTGGTCCCCAGGAATGGTACCCGGGGAACTCAGAGCAGCAGATGGCAAGAGGTAGTCAGCCTCCACTGCCAGATCTGGGGCCAATCATTAGCCTCCAGACCTCTCCTCTCCCTAAGCGATGCGGTGCCCTAAGAGCAGTTAAGAATTACTCAGGGATATTTATATTAAAAATCTTGGACATGTCAGCCCCCTGAATTTTTGTTTATTGCTCATGACCTGTTCCTGACTCTTACTAAAAATACCCATGATTAAATCTTAGCCTTATTAAGGCACAATTGTTTAAAACTATTCAGATTAATATTTACAAAACTCTGCTCAGACATACAATTTAAACTGTGCTGACTAGTTGTGATTAACATCAGTAGAAAAATCTGGGAATAGAAATGACTGGAAAATTTATGATAGAAAAATAATGAGAATTTGGGTACCAAACAGAAGTAGCAATCTGTTTCTTTGCTTTATAGCTGCAGACACTTGACTCTGTCCCCACCACCACTGGGTGCACAGTGCTCTGCCATCCCTAATGCTTGGGGGCTGAGATGTCTTTATATGATCTTGCTTTCCACCTTCCTTCCCTGGGACAGGCTCAGATTTGGGTAGGCCTGGGTATGGCCCACAAATAGCTATTCCCCAATTAACACATTTTCCTTAGCAGAAATATTCATATGAGATTTGGAAATTCACTTGTGTGATCATTCTTGCCTGTAAAATTCAATCATACAAATGTTTGTGAGATGTGAACACAAACAGGTGGGAGTATACCCACTGCAAGCTGATTAACAATTGAGCATGTGTGATTTTTTTTGCAGTATTAACTTAGCTCTAGCAGTGAATGAGAAAATACTTTCCCTTGAAACAGAAAGCACAGCAAGAGGCCAAGAAGTTATTTTGTAGGTTGTTAACATCCAGGATCTTCCTTGACCTGCAAGAGGAAATAAAAAAAATAACAGTTATTAAGTTGAATGTATGGGTATGCTTTCAGGTTAAAAAAAAAAAAAAGAAAGAAAAAAAAAGGTATTTCAAGAAAATATTGGAAAGGCTTCATTCTACAGCCTTCTGTCCCACTGAACAAGGGGTATGTAGCAGGACTTCTAGGACACTCCAGTACAGGTATTACGGTAAGAGAATTTAAATGTTGCGTATGATGCAAGGTTCTTCTTCAGAATAATTAAGCAACCATTTCAGTGATCAAACAAGAATTACATTCTAGCATAAGTGCAATTCATAGTTCTCACAATTCTTAGCCATTACTCCAAACAAGTTGTCTATCCATCCTGCACTTAATACAGAGGCAGCACTGTTTCTCAGTGCTCCCTCTAAAAGAGCCTTCTCCCTGGAAATTGTTTAAATTAGAGATACAAGTAAAACTATCCACAATTATTGTTCTTAAAAAGGTAAGTGTCCCACACTTGCATATTTCATAACTTTTAGTATGTTTCGACAGATACACCACAGGTAATGATTGCAACTGGGTACAATTTCTGCTCACATACCAAGAAGTGCATAAAGAAGAGCAAAAGAAAGGAAATTATCAACAGGATTATTCAGATTACAGAAATTTGTTGACACTAACCACCTACTACATCACTTGGGGGAAAGACATAAAAAAAACCAAACCACCAAGAAGTCAGCTCATATCTCCTGTGATGGCACTGATAATAGTAAATTTGCAGTTCCCAAGTATGAGATAAACAGGTATTTCACATAATTAGGGACTTACTAAAGTGTGACATTGTAATATTCCTGTGGGGTCACTGTTTTCAGTCCACCAAAGTAGTCCAGGACCCAGATATTGGTTATGTTGAATTTGGCAAAGAACCAGTTATGATCTCGAGGCCAGCTTTCCATCTCAGGATGTCGACTGAATAATGCTAGTTTTGCAAAGACCGCTTCTGTATCGTTCACCTAACAAGTAATCAGCAACATATAACAAAAGATGTAAATTTAATTGCAAAAGACAAATCTGTATTTTAAAACAACTGCCAATAAGATTATTATAACATGAGACTAAAATAAGTTTTCCTTCCAATTATATTACCCCCACATCCATCCATCAACAGAAAGATTTCACTGGATTGAGGTTTGCCCTAGAAAGCTAGACAGTTGTACCAGCAGAAGTTACTCTTTAGCATTTAGAATTCCTTAAGAGTCTCTCAGTGATACTCTTGAATACTGGTAGGAAGGTGTGACTTAGTTTACATTGGTAGATTATGAGCTAGCTTGCTACCATCAAAGGGAATTACATACCTGAGAGAAAGATTCAGGTGTTACACTTCCATACAGAAGTTCTTACATTTCTATTCTCTGTTTAGTAAAGAATATTGCTTTGTATATAATACTGTCATGTTCAGTGCAAACTTTCAGTTGTTTACCTTATCAACAGTCCCAGAGAAGATAATGTGGGCACATAGAGGATTCTGGGGATCATAGCCTTTCTTCTTGCAGTATGGAGTCTGTGCCAAAGACACTGTTAGGGAGGCATTTGCATTCACCTGAAATGCAAGCAATAAGGTAATTGGCAAAGCTGTCCCAAAGCAATACTTTACATAATTAAATTTGTAAAAATACACCAGCAGTTCTCAACTTCCTTATTGTGGGCTGAGAGGCAGGGGTTGAATGGCTGGACAGCAGCTGTCTGGACCTCTCTCCCTTGTGTGGGGCTGGGCAATGGACCCAGACCACCTATTTTACAGAGTTGGATGGCAGCCCAAGAACTCCAACTTCCTCTGTGCAGGGCCAAGTGGCAACCCCAGACATCCCACCCTCCTAGACTCCTGCCACACATTTTCCCTGAAAACTGTGGCACTGTGCCGGGCTGGCCAGCTGCCCCACCAACTCTGAACCCCTGCCTGCCTAGCCCAGATGGATGGCCTGGCTGTATGACAGCTCTGAACCCAAGACAGCCCTGGACACCCTGCTGTGTTTAACTGTGTTAACACCTTGTTGGGAGACCCAGGTTGCAACTCCAGCTGCAAGGCTGCTCTGGACCTTAAAGCCTGCGGCCCCTGTGTCCAGACTGTTGCTGTGTACTAACTGGGGCACATGCAGCCTGGGGACTGAGAAACAATGGAATAAACCCACTGGAGGGTTGCCAATTTCCCAGGAAATGCCAGACATTGCTGAATACCAGCCTAAACCTGGTTTAAAAATAACTGCATCAGCATCCAGCAAATTCAGAATGCATCTTTTTAAACTCTGGATACATTTAAAACTGAAGAATAGGCTCAGTCTACACACTACATCAAAGCTGGCCTACAGCTACAAAATGCTGCAGAGCCAAATGGATCTGGACTATAGCCTGCAACTCTTCAAGCTTACAACTACATTTTTTGTATTTCAAATAACTAAATGTTTTTAATGTTTGTTTATGCAATACTGAAAACTGAGATGAGTCATGACATGTATAATTTCCTTGAGACAATATAGAACCAAAATGTATAGACATTGCAATATTCAGTATTACAGTACCATATACAGTAAAACTCTGATGGTCCGGCACTCCTGATAGTCCGGCACCATCAGGAACCCGGAAGTGCTCCGGGCAGCTGGACTATTGGAGCTGCTCTGCCCCCAGCTTCCCCAATTCAGCCGCTGCTAAAACTGACCAGCGGCTGAATCGAGGAAGCCCGAGGCAGAGCAGCTGGGGCGCTGCCGGGTAGATCCCCATGCACTGCCCCTGGGGGGCTGCGGGACCAACCCGGCAGCACCCCAGGTGCCCTGATTCAGCCGCTGCTCAAAATGACCAGCGCCCGGCAC